CACTACCCTTCAACCACAATCCTAGAAACAAGATACTGTGTGTTAGCAAGCATATTCTTCCTCAGACAGGGGTACTAGTTTTGAGCTTCATCTTTAAAGCTTCCATACCAACCAAAAGAAGTACATGTGCAATTAATGACACGAAGCCTACACGAAGTGCGAGGATGTACACAACCAGCCAATTGACCTATTCGAAGTATAGCAGGAATGCGAGACAGAGTCACCTCTTCAATATGAAGCTGTATTACTCTATCCGAACCGTACAGTAGACATTGAACTACTCCTGGTAAGAATGCAACCGGGTGAAGTCATTCGTTCTTTCCGCAGAATATTGTTTCTTGGACGCGAGCTCTTCAACGCATACCATACCTAATATCTCAAAGCATTAATCTGTTCTTACGAGGGATTACAGTTAGAAATATAAAAGCGGGTTGAAGCCCAGTCTTTCCATTCCTAAGTGCATACCATCATTCCCTTATTTGAACACGACTGCAACGGAAGATAATGTCGCACCAGACTCTTTTAGAGTACTTGACGAAAGATGCCCCCCCCCGGCTTTGAGTCATCAAAATACTACAAGGACCTCGAACACCACAAACAACAAATATAGCTGGAGAGATATCAAAAATGTCGTCTTCTGGTCGGATTTCAGCTACTCCAGGATAATACAGGATTATGGTGCGGTGCTCAATGGCACCCCAATCCCATCGGATCCGATGCCAACATCGCCTCCTCGGCCTATCAGGGAGGAGATGTTGTTCCACGACCGCTTCGTTGAATACATATACCCACGCGTCAGGAGGGCGCTACGGGCTGGATTTGAGCAGAACCCTTCCCTCACCGCTACTGCGAATCACGAGGCGGTTACCTTCGATGGTGGCTCAGCAGCAAGCTTGCTTGACCAGTTCAAGCCAGACACGGCGATCCTCAGATCTTCCGACACTTTAGGCACCGGAGACAACCGTGCCCCTGGAGATTTAAAGGTCTCCTGGAAATGGAAATCAGAGTGGAGAACAACTACGGATGCGCAAGACGCCAGGGAATACAAGCAAGCGCTCTCGCAGCTGAACTACTACATGGTCCAGAACAAGACAAAGTACGGATTTATCGTGACAGATACTGAGCTTGTACCTGTGAAGAGATTGGCGCAAAGTGGTCATTTGGCGGTGGGGAACGCTATTCCTTGGACTGCGAATGGGAACCAGTTGACTGTTCGTCTAGGCATTTGGTACATTTCAATGCTGGCAGCAAGAAATGACTGGCAACTATGACACTGGTTTGCAATTTACATCTCTGACTGGAGCTCTCCTGACATTACCTTGATGCAGCCTCATGTTCTTCGTTCTTTTCTTATGCTTATACTTTTGTCCGGCTTCTTGGCTTGCAATTATGACCTTCGGAAATCATTCGAGGACAGGGAGGAATTGACTGTTAAGCACTTTGAGCGATGACTTAGTATACAGTGATGGAGTATAGCTCCTTCATTGGCTCGTCGCCACTCATTCGGAGCTATTAGCCCTCTACAGCATTTGACTATACTTTTAGTCCTCCCTCTGGTCACCTATTGAATATCCGTTTATTTACGAACTGGCTGTAGAGTGGAGGAAAACGTAGCAGCAGAAGAGCGGTAAATGTGACTACAACAGTAAACACGGGCAGCAAATGGTTTTTCTACGGACAGAAGGATTACCCCTTCGTCCAATAGTAAGATAGGCAAGACTTTCTCCCTTTCCTCCTGCTACGGTCATTCCAGACGAATCTGAGCTTCAGTAGTTTCATCGAAAGCACCAGCATACAATGCAGAAGTGTTATGAACACCAGAGGTCTGGCTATGCCCAACTCCCATATGCTCTAGTGTGCTGAAAAACTGATCTCTATCCGAATAACGATGACGATCGTAGCCCATTGCTTTGCCAATCCACGGAAAGCCTCAGGGAGATCACCAAGCCGTCTTAGTGCCACATGTATTTCCACGGTCCGCAGGGGCCTTTTACCCTCGCTTTACTGGAAAGTCATTATGGGTCTTTGATCCGCCACTATCATAGGTGCCGTCTAGCAGAACCATACATCTAGTCTCGTAAAGGCCATGTTCATACCTGGAAGGCATTTGCTAGGGTTATGCTAACCCACGACGAGGATTTGCACCGCAGATACGGGCAGTAAGCATGGCACCTATGGACGAATTCTGACAAATGATTTGGTTTCTGCCTGGTGTTAATCCTTCCTGAACAGCTTACCAACCTGCAGCAGCAGAACAACATAATCGGGTTCCTGCTATTCGACCGCATAAGAACTGTTCGATCGCCAGACTAGAAGGAGTTGCTCCCCTCTCCTGACGAAACGCTTCTGTACCATGATTTTTGCTATGAACTCGACGAGTATCCTGCCTAGCATGCCTCCTGAGGCAATACTTAAAGCTCTCATCCCCAGTTATGGCTTTTTGGCCCGCCTTATTTTCAACCTTTGTAATGATATGTCATTATCATTCTTTATCCTCATAATATCATTAGCTTTTAGGGCATATGCTATGCCAGCATTCCAGGGCCAGGCGGCGCAGCAGTGTGCATTAGGCAAAATGCAGGTCTAGGGGCTAGCCAAGGAGAAACAAGCAATAATAAGCACTAAACATGGAAGTGAAAAATAGGATGGGGAACTTGATCAATTATTGCATGTATGATTGGATACTCCAATGACAGTTTGGGCCAGGTCCATACCTAGTTTCCAAGCCCTCCGCACCACAGAGTATGTATTTCTCAGCCCATCAGCCACTCCGTACACCCCAAACGCCAGGATCCCTGTAACACCAAGCAGGAATTTTTTGTTGTGCTTCAGCTTTGGTGTCCATACTCTATCCCTGACCGAGATGGCCCCTCCTCACCTTTAGTCATTATTCTAAGCTAATTACTATTCATAACATCCACCAGGCTTTGCCCCCAGCAGTACATTCCTATGTTATAACCTTCAGATAGCGCGCTAAGACAACGATCTGACGTATAACAACCAATCGTTCACGGACCTATCAGAGCACCAGGCATAATGGAAGGAAGCCTCAGGTCATGTGACAGTAGTGAGGCCTAGGAAGCAGTAGCCAGCTACGGTAGCTACACAAAGGATATAAGGACGCCCATTTTTAAGGTCTAATCTGGAAAACAAAAAGGAAGAGCCTTTTACTGTATTCGTAAACGTCCTATGCGGCCGTATATGTACTAATTCGTGATGATTTCGTAGCTCAGGCGCCAGCGCTCTTCCTCTATACATCAATTGTGCGAGATGGGCGGTACCATTGTCCCCAAGTCGCTGTCTGAGTGGTCCAGTGCAGAAGTGAGCGCGCGGAACTGCGTGTGAAGAAATGCAACCATTCTGGCTCACACACCACTCAGCATTAGGTCGCTCCTCGGCTCGTTGACTGCCGCAGAGGGTAAGTCCAAAGTCTAGTTGCGGGACAATGTATAACGGCCTTGAAAGTACCCCTTTGAGTTGAAAATTGATGATGACTACTCTGTATTCGTCTTCTTTTCTTTATTATTTAAAAGCTATGTTTAACTGAGCAACATAATTCCAGGATTCCTTTCCTTGGCGTCTTCGCGCTAGCACTCCACAGTGTGAATAGTTCATGTACTTGTCTTGTTTAATCAACGCACGCGTGTACAGTCCCTTCAGCCTGGGATGGCGACTTCCCATACAGAGTTCCAGTCGCCTACTGGGTGCCTGGCAAAGGCTGGCCACCCATAAATCGTGGGAATCCTTGGTAGCCGAGCCAGAGCTCACCAGTTCCCGGCGGGCCACCGACAATCTCCTTCTTGCGACCCTTGAGCTCATCAACGTCCCAAGCGGCGAAGACGATCTTGTTTTTGAGAAACTCTGCTTCGGGGGAGGCAATCCAGACAAGGAAATCGGCGGGAAGAGAGACTGCGAAAGAAAAAAAAAAAAAGAAAGAAAGAATGATCATTAGTTACTTGGATACAAAGACAGATTGGCCACAAAGGACAGGATCAGTTTGAACTTACTGTCATCGTAGGCATATGGCAATTTTATCGTCTCTGCGAGCTTGGCAGACATGGCCGTTTTGAGGAGTCCGGGATGCACATTGTGAAGACGGACTTGCGGGTTCTCCGCGGCAAAGGCCTCTAAGAGCTTGACGGCGGCCATCTTGCTGCTCACGTAGGCGCCCATGCCGGCGAAAGGGGGGAACAGGATGCCGGCCGTGGTTAGATTGATAAAGGTGACTGGCTTGTCCTCGTTGGCGCTGACTGTCTTGTTTGCCAGGACGACAGCCTGTGCCGTCACCAGCGTACCGACAACGGTAGTCTTGTAGCCGTCCAGAAAAGTAGCCGGATCAGCTTCCAGAAGGGGAACAACGGGGGCCAGGACGCCGGCACAGTGGACGAGGATGTCGATGCCGCCAAACTCGGCAGCCACCTTGTTCATGGCATTGCGTACGCCCGAAGCATCGCACAGCTCAGCCTTGTGGGTTTGAATCGTCACCTCTGCGTGGCTGGCGCGGACAGTCGTGGCGGTTTCCGCCAGGGCGTCGGCGCGTCGACCGAGGAGGATGAGCGCTCGGGGACCCGATGCAGCAAAGGATGAGGCTGTGGCCCGGCCGATGCCGCCAGATGCGCCAGTGATCAGCACAACCTTGCCCGCAGTGGAGAGGCCGGGCTGAGTTGGATTGATGCTGGCATATGTGGCGGAGTGAGTGACCTTGGTGTACGAGGGCGGTGGCGCTGCCATTGTCTCAGACTGTGGGCTCTCTTTGTCTCTGTGTGTGTACTGCGGGAGAGTGAGCGTGTAAATAGTCAAACAGATTACTGCCTCGTGATGTAAAATGGGAATCACTTTTGATGTGGATAGGTAGCAGTAAGCAGGCAAGATGGCGCAAATAGTGTGAAAGCAGAGGCGGAGGCGAGTATGGCCAGTCAAAGTATGGTGGAGGAAGGATTGAATAGGCAGGTAGGCAGGCGTGTCATGGCCAAGGGAGGGGGAGGCCAATATTAATATAATGCATTATTAGCAAAATTCAGCCTAGTCACTGACTATACGACCATTAGTAGCTGCCTAAGTTCTTATATACCAACATGCACGCATCTGCCTATAACCAATGTGAATGAGCAGGCAGAAGCACCTGAGTGTGGGGCTTGTACCACAGATCGTACTGGCAATAGCGGGTGAATAGCTACCTAGGTACTCGTGTGTAGGCGGCAAGCCGGAACCTCAAGGCTACACTCGGAGTGGAACCGATAATAAACGGGCTGTATTGGTCTTTTCGGGGGGTTTTTAATACAGGGATCTCGCCCAATCCCCGCATTAGGCCGTTGGAAAAGTGAGATGGGGGTCTTTTTAGGTGCATCGGGGGATTTGCCAGCCTAAGGTCAGGTACAGGTACCCACAGCGAGCGCCGCCCCTGTTTTGTCGCTGTATCTACGGAGTCCGAGGATGCGTGGCTGATTCTGAATCCACCACCCATCCACATCCACACACCAACAATTGGTTTTTATTGAATACATCTTAAAACAAACTGCATTATGCAAGTGACATGCATCAAGAACATCCAATTCTCTCAGAGCTTCAAGCATTTGTATGTGTCTGCGCTATAGTTGTGAATGAATTACTTTCTTATACGGCCATGGTTGGAAGAGATGCCGCCTGTTAGGAGTCATTCCTTGTCATTATGGAAGAGAGAAAAAGAGTGAAAAAGAGTGAAAAGGAGGCGTATCATCAAGCCACAACAACCTCATCTAGCAGCGTTAAGAATGAGTCCAGAAACATTTTGGCACTCTCCGCATAATATAGCGAATCCTGTAGGCCCAGGCGTAACAACGTCTCGCCGTTCGGGTTCTCTGTAACCTCCAGTCTGAGGTCATAGCCAGTTCTTGCATTGCACCAGCGCTCCTCGCCCACCTTGCACTCGCCGAACATGACCCGGTCCTGCACAATCTGACGGTAGTCCACAAACACCTGGAAGAGAGGGGTATGATCCGCAGACCGTGGAATGTTCAGCTCATTGAGGAGCACGTCAAATGGCAGCTGCGAGTGCTCCAGGATCCCGTAAACCTTGTCCCGAGTAGCTTGCACCACTTCACGGAACCGGGTCCCATCAGGAGAACGACGGAAATGAATAGGGAGAAGATTGAGCAGAAATCCAATCGTACCCATGAACTTTGGATCCAGACAATTGGCATCCGCTAGACCAATGCAGAAGTCCATCAAATTTGGGAGGAGACGGAAAATTTGCAGCTGAAGGGTCGCCAAGTAGACATGGAACGTAGTGGATTGGCATTGGCGCGCGAGCTGTTTAATCCGGTCACTTCGGGCAGGCTCAAGCTGTGCCTGGACTTCATGCAGACTATATCGCATCGTTGACGGTCGTGTGGAGACTTTGGCAAATGAAAAGAGTGGGATGGGTTGGAGGTGACCGGGGATGGTCTTGCGGTTGAAATCGATACTCCGCTGCATGCGGCCATTCTCATAATCATTGTGTTGCTGAGCTGCGAAAGAACGATACTGAGAGGTTGCAGGCAGAGGGCTCAACGGTTTACCAGAGTATGCGGCCTCCAAGTCGACAAAGAACATACTGAAACTCCAGCCATCCAGCGTGATATGATGGGCCCCTATCAACACATAGTGAAGGGTTTGGGAGACTGATAGAAGGCGAATCTTGATGGCCTGCCAACTGTGTAGGTCCCACTCGTGGTCGTGCATGCGTTGGAGCTCCCCTTCAATCTCATCCTGGGTCACAGACTTTCTTTCCAAATGAATGACGGGATGAGATAAAATCCCTTGTCGGGGTGTTCCGTCACTGTCATTGTCGTCGTCGTCATACGGGACTATGCGGGTCCTCAATATCTCATGCCGCTGTGCCACCACTTGGAGTGCTCTGCTGAGATCGTCAATGCGCAAAGCTCCCGTTAGCTGAAACATAACGGCCATATTAAAGGTCTTTTTATCTTCCAGATAGTGCTGTAGGAACCAAAGTCGATTTTGACCGAACGATAAGGGTGCTGTAATTTCAGTGGGAGAATCTAACCCTTGCAAGTTGGACACCGAAGCATCAGTCAAAAGCTGCTTGGAAGCGGGAACACGATCATCGCTTCCGTAGGTAGGGGTGCTAGCTGGGGTGGTTTGCCCAATTTGCGATGATTCATGGTCCGAGCTGAGCGCGTTGGTACCTGAGTCCTCCGAGTCTGGATTCGAGACGCCATTGTCGATACCTGGTAGATGAGCCCCCCCTGGCGGGAGTCTTTGAATCGCGTCATGCACCAGATCCTGAATGTTGCCACCCGCGAGAACCTTGAGCACGGGCATGTCAACGCCTAACTCTCTTAGGAACCAAGTGCGCACTTCGACCGCCATCAACGAGTCAACACCCTGCTCCACGAGCGACACGTTCTCATTGACGCTTTCCTCTGGTGGAATTTGCAAGGTTCGCTTCAATCGAGCAATGAACGCCTCTGTCATTGGGAGGTTAGATACCGCACTCTATGAGAATATCACATGCATTGGACACACCTTTGATGATCTCTCCAGCCTGAAACACATCTTGAGCATTGGCTAAGCGGATCCGAACAGGGACAGTCTGGGTCTTGCTCGCCTGCGTCGATGTACGCGGTCGTTCCAAGACAAAATGGCCGAATTTCAAATCGGTCAAAAACTGAGCCTTGACATCCTGATCAGCGAAGATGGGCGAGACTCCAGTGACAATCTCGGAAATTGCAGTCGAATCAGGACGACCAGCGGCAATCGCCTCGGCAAATAGCTGGTGTAGATCTTGCTCCGCAATGTTGGTATAACCCAGGCGAGTAAAATAGTCAGCATCCAGCTTCTCAGAGCGCTCAACGTAGCCAATTCCCATGAGCGAGCTAATATCAATGGTGGAACCAGCAACGCCCCGTTTCTTTCTCTGGGAGGCCAGGGCTGTCATAAACATGTTCGCAGCCGCATAGTTGCTTTGGCCGCTGTTGCCCACCACAGCAGTGAGAGAAGAGAAGACGATGAAAAAGTCCAGAGGGGTGTCGTGTAAAAGCTCATCAAGTAGAAGGGTACCATCGACCTTCGGACGCACACACGCCATGAAGTCCTCAAAGCTCATGTTTTCGAACATGGCATCTCTGAGGATCATCGCGCCATTAGCAACGCCTGCCACTGGAGGCATGGTTTGGCGAATTTCCTCAAAGCATGCATTGAGAGAGACGCGACTCGTGACATCGCTTTGAATCCATTAGCGGACAATCCAAACACAAAACAGAACGTGAATAGTACACACCATGGCATCACTCGGACGTCTGCGTTAAAGGCGGCCAATGAATTGATAAAGCGAGGATCGACCTTTGGCCTCCGGCTCGTCAACACGATGTGTTTTGCGCCGTGTTCGACCATCCATCGGGCAATTGACTGTCCGAGTTCACCTGCAAGACCGACAAGTACGAATGTCTTGTTTGACCCGAAGATAACGCCCTCATCAATTGGAAGAACTTTCACCGACACCAATGGAACGCGCCAATCTACCACCGTGAAATCCCGCCGAGCCGTTACATCAGTGGGAATTTCAGTCAGCAGTACTTGATTGTGTCCTTCAGAGACCAAGCCCAGTTCATCAATGTTTTTCCACGCGCATTGAAGTACCTTTTGTCCTTCCTCGACAGCAGGCTCCAAACACAGTTCGACATCCTTTCCAAACACCGCAGACCTCCCTGTAACAATGCAATTTTGGGCCAAGAGTTTGCTAATGAACTTGCCAACACTATCAGGAGAGCAATCCTGCTCAAGGCTGATAAAGCCCGAAACGTCCTGGGGTATGAGACGGCGGATGAGCCGCTGTGGTAGGTGAGGATGGATGTAAACGGTGTCGGCACTATCATCCTTTTGCGAAGTAGTCATCAATAACTTAACTCCTCTGGAACGTGCACAGCGGACAAGCGCCTGGGCTATGAATCGCTCCACATCATGCACCAGCAACGTACCAGTCGTGGGGAGTGTATTGAGTATGTTCTCCGCAACAACAAAGGCTGCAATGGAGAGTATGCCTTCGACAGGATCAACGTGGGCCTGCGGAATCGTCCAGGTAGATATGGACGGGGTCAAGCTTTCAGCCGACAGGCCAAATGCAAAGACCGCCTCCTTAGTCGATAATTCAGTGCCTGCCGCAATCATGAGATACCCAACGCCCTTCACAAAAATAGAAGGGAGTAAGGAATGAGATACTCGAACTGTAGACGTGGCTGATAGACGCGAGTTCATCACGCGAAGTGGAGAGATGTCACGCAAGGCAACCAATTCATCATCAGTGGTATCCATTCGGACCGGCACCAATTGAGGATCAACCTCTTTAGTTACCAGGCGGCGAGAGCTGTTGTAGCGTAGATTGGACTCCTTCCGCGGATACAGACGAGGGACGAGAGCGCGCCCATCCTCCATGACGATCTCTGGCTCAGAGGTATACATGATATCGGCAGTTGACTTTTCTTTTCCCAGAGAGTCCAGGAACTCGTGGCGGAGCAAGGCTTCGGCGACGAAGTGTGGAGTTTCTCTGTTGATGTTCTCAACATCGACCATTTGCAGGTTAATGTTAGGATGCTCAGCGCGCATCGCGCGACCCAGGCCAACCATCATAAAGGAATGCGGCTCAGCGTCTCGAGATCCGCTGGTCAACCAAAGAATATTTCTTGCCTGTTGCCACAGTGCCTTGAGGGAATTAAACTTTGCGGGGGTAGGGCAACGCAGAAGAGGCTCATCCAGCTCGGTTAGAGAGAGAACACTCGAGCCTTCAGGCAATGGTTGGTTATCGAGTTGCTCAATGGAGGTAATCCGAATGATCTTCGCCCATGTTGTGCCAATGGAAGATAAGATCCGTTCAATCAATTGATGGACCCGGAACTTCTTGCCGCCAACAATTGTCAAGGTCTTAGGAATGCTGAAGGGTGCCTCCAGTGGGGCGCTCAACGGAGATCTGAGGAAGGCCACTCGATCGTCTACAGCCTGAGAGGCGAAGACGGCACCGGGATGCAGTGCATGATAGGGAGGAGTGGCCGTATCAATGCCGGAGAAGCCACATTTTCGAAGAAGAGAGTCCCATTGCGGCAGTGTCAACGTGGGACCCCAAGGACGTCCACTGTCGGCGCCCACCCACCATCCTGGAAGTCCACCCATCGGCAGTCCAATGCGAAGGGCATCATTGCTGATGACTTCAAACACCATCAAATAGCCTCCGGGTCGAAGGAGCTGCCTCACGTTGGTCATCATCTCTTCTAGCCGGTTCGTGGCGTGGAGAACGTTCGCGGCTATGACCAAATCGTAGGTTCCTTCAGCATATCCCTGGGAGACCGGGGGTCACTCCATGTCAAAGGTCCTGAAGACCATGCGGTTTGCATAGTGCTCAAATCTTTGTTCTGCGGCTTCAAAAAATGCACTTGAGATATCGGTGTAAGTATAGGAGGAGAACGCGGACTCTATACGGGGAAGGATGACCCGTGTAGACCCGCCAGTGCCAGCTCCTAGTATGGAGTCAGCAAGCTGAGGTAATCGCCATATGCTTGTCAAAAGACTCACCGATCTCCAGAATACTCATTCGCGGATAGCGATGAGCAAGCTGTTCCACCATCCGAGCAATCCAATTATTAGCTGTTTCGATGCCATAGAAGTCATCCAACACGCCGTTCTTGGTCATGTGCTCGAGGATGTTTCCATTTTCTTTTATCACAGTGGGAAGATTTTCTCCAACGGCTTCCACGAGCTTAAAGTCCACCCAATCAGAATTCTTCGCAATGAGACTTTTAACCACATCGTAAGTGTCCGACTTGTGCTCGGGAGGAACTGCCGGGCACTCTCCACGGTCAACGAGACCCTCAACATAAGCAGCCCAGTCGAGCAGCTTCCTGTAATGAGAAAGAGTGTGATCCTTCTCATCTGGTATAGTCGTTCGGAGGAGATTCATGAGATAGAAGAATGATATTCGCTCCAGATCCGTGGCTCGCTCGACATCCAGAGAAGTTGGCCTATCCCCTGCCATGGCCAGTTCGCCATCTACATCAGCAACACCATAGTGGAACTCAGAGAACATGACTGCGTCGTCCTTAGTCGTTGGTGGTGAGAATGGCTTGAGGGTGACACCCTCCACCTGAATGAACGACTGGGTGCCATCTTCATTGAACAGATTAACATCGGCAATTGTATTTCCATGATGGCTTTCTCTCACAACAGACTGGTACGGGATTTCACGTTGCTTGCCCACTCCAAGTGATGTATAGCGAGGGTTGACCACCAAGGACTTGATGAATGTGGGCACATGGATCGTGAACAGGCGACCATCCCCAGGACAGCAATATGCTGCCGAGATTGTCTGTAAGGCTGTGTCCATCATCCCAGGGTGAACAATTAACTGGTCTTCCCAGGCCGAGCCAGACATGTCTTCGATCTTTCCCGTGGCATAGCCCTGCTTGCGCTTGATCTCGCAAATGCAGTCGAACGGAGACTCGTATTCGTACCCAAGAGTGGAAAGAGACTTGTAAAATCGCCCAATCTCAATGTCTGTCAAATTAAAAGACTCGGAGGATATAGTTGGCATCGGTTCTGCTTCTGCTTGCTCAAGGTAGACAATCACCCGGCCATTGGCATTGCGGGACATTGGTGTATCATTGGACATACTAGAATAGCAAGCGAACTCCATGATAAACTCACGCGCATCCGATTTCACTATCGTTGCTGTGAAAAGGGACTCGAGACCAGAATTCTCATCATTGAATGCCATGGCCCGCTGAATAGAGAAGTCTTCAAGCTTCAACAAAACTGGCGTGCGATCGGCCAAAAGAGCAACAACATCCAGCGCCATTGCGATGTAAGCCGTGGCTGCAAAAACAATTTGACCTTGCAGTCTGTGGCATTGGAGCCAAGAGATTTCTTTTGGTTGAATTATATTTTCCCATTGCACTTGCTGGGCAGAAGTGCTCTCGATGCACTGTCTCCCAAGGAGCGGATGCAGTCTTGAGTGGTTATTGAGTTGAGTGGAGGATATGCGGGACAACGAGCGGAATGAGCGGTTGTGATTAAAGGGGTACAATGGGAGCCCAGATACGAGTTGCCTGCGTTGCAAACTGCCGCTAAATGCGAGATCCAAGGAGCTGAAGGAGACAGATCCCACACTGAGATGGGTCCAAATCTGTCCCATGGCTGCTGCAAATTCTTTCAGGTCATGCTTGTTGCGAGAGAGCAAACCGAAATAGGGTATTCCAGCCTGAATGTCTTCAAGACAGCTCATGCAGGGCCCTTTAAGTGCTAGGTGAGGGCCAATTTCCAACACCATATCAAACGGGCCATCCCCTTAAACCGCGTGGGTTACTGCAGATGAGAACATAACCGGGCTGGTCATGTTATCTACCCAATACTGAGTGTTGAGAGTTGCCTTTGTCATTGCCTGGCCAGGTGAAACACTGGAGTGCCACCTTGGCCCGTTCCCAGGGTCTTCGATGCGATCACACTGAGAAAGCGACTCCAGATAGGGTTCGGCGCAATGCTGCATATGATGGGAATGGTAGGCCGTATCAACCTTCAGCTTTCGGGCAAACTTCTGCTCATCTTTGAAGATCTCAACGGCTTCATCTACGGCCGCCTCGTCCCCTGAGATCGTGACACTGGATGGAGAGTTGGATGCGGCCACTTGAAGCCTTCCCTCGAATACTTCCAGCTCGCAGAAGTCGCGTGCATCGTCCAGCGTGGTGCCCACGGCCATCATCGCACCTCTGCTTCCGTTGGGAGACCGTGCCAGCTTTGCATAGTGCCCCCGATAATAGGCAATGCGGATGGCGTTTGAGGCGGAGATCAAACCTGACGCATAAGCTGCCCCAATCTCGCCGGATGAATGACCGACCACGCTGACGAGTTCAATTCCAGCAAGACGAAGTAAATTGACCAAGATAATTTGGACTGCTGTGCAAAGAGGCTGAGAGATCTCTGCCGTAGCCAGCCGGGAGTCGGAGGGGGGCGCTAGGAGTTCATCTCTGATAGTCCACGAGGGTCGATCTGCAGGTGGGAGAGCGGCCAGTGAATTGTCTAATTGCTTGATATACTCTGAAACAAGCGACGACTGCTCGAGCAACATTGCTCCCATCCGAGGCCATTGAGCCCCCTGTCCTGTAAAAACACCGAGAATTCGTGCGGTCGGTTTGCTCATGTACCGCGTCTTAAAATCGGATTTGGCATCGTTGCCTTCACCTAGCAGAGCGTCAAGCTGTGCGATGAGATCGTCCAGGCTTGAAGCCGCCACAGATTTGCGGTATGCTAAAGTAGAACGGCGCTCCTGCAATGTCCATGCAAAGTCACCCAGGTTGGTTCGAGGCTTCTGGGAAAGGAAGTCCTTATGGTGTTCTAGTGTCGCCCGAAGGGCTGCTTCTGATGCCGCGGAGAATACAAAGGGGGTGATCAAGGGACCATCCGAAGTACGGTCACTTTTGGGAGGCTCGAATGACTCAATGATGGCATGAGCATTGGTTCCGCCAAATCCTGCAAATGATGATTAGCATAATCAATTCAACAAAGCTAATGGAGAGAAGGGGGGGGGGGG